TCAGTAGCACCAGATGTACCCCAAAACCCCAAAACCCCATTCAACGATAGTTACGTTTAATATCTTATTTAACAAATGTAATAAACGATAGAATAATTTTCAAGATCTTTTTCTACTAATTGCTGAACTTTTTATAGCATTTTGGCTATTTCCTCTGATTTTAGAACTTGAGCTTCCTCCGCTACTGGTGCTGCTAGCACTTATATTACTAGTTTAGCTAGCAAGGACAACTGCAACTTGCTACTAGAGACTTTAACCCTCTTCTTTGATTGAACCGATTGCACTAGATGTAACAGTGCTATTATATCTTTTAACTGCTTGCCCACCTGCTTTTTTTGAGGCAATAGAGTTTTGTGATCCTCCATACTTATTCTCATTGGTTCCAGAGTTACTATTGTAACCTGAAGCAATAGAATTTAAACCAACGATCATATGATCATTTGCTGAATTTCTCTTTGTTAATTTCTTTTGACTCTAAGACTAACTGCTTGGTATATTCACTTTTGAAGTTTGTCTTAATGTCTTTCTTCTCTGCATTTGGTATTTAGGATCTTATAGCATTTTATAGAGCTCATATTTATGCTCTTCTTCTTACTTTCTTTTAATTTCTTCATCTACTTTTTCCTTCATATCTCTTTTCTCTTAATCCTGCTCATATTGCAATAGCTTATTTTCTTCTTCAAGTCTTGAGTAGTATTCCTCCTCAGATATGTCTTTTTGTTTCAATGCTCTTTATTCACAATCGTATGCAATATCACTGACTTCTTCATCCATGTCATTTTTAAAGCCATCGATTGCAGCAAAAAGCTAAAATCTTAGATCTTTATCAGGATCATTCTAAATTTATTTGCATTGATATAGAAATTTTAGAAGTATTTTTTCAGCCACTATACAGAATCTCCTTCTTATTGCAAGTTATTTATCATCTTTTAGCATCATTATTGGCTCAAAGAAATTATCGAAGAAGAAAGATTTAGACATCCTATTATAATCCTAATTAAGTGCCTATTCACAAAATGTGAAGTAAGCTTTTCTCTAAGTAAAGCTTTTTGAAAAGGCTAATTCAACTACTATTTATTTAGACATCTCTTTCCTTTCTTAATTTCTATGATTATGATAAATTAGATAAGACAAGACCTTAGCAATAGATGGTTTGATACCCTCATTTACTCTATTATCTGAAATGAGATTTATAAGTGATTCAAACATGTTAGCACACAATATCCTGCAGTTCATTAGATGTGCAGCCTTGCTTACCTGATCAAGAAATTCTGCCATTTTCCTCCAGTTTTTCTTGTGAATATCCTGTTTATGGAGTTTATGAAAAATCTCGATAATGGTTTCTACAAGTTATTAACTTCTTGGATCATCAACTTTGAAGTCTAAATTTATAATGGCATCCCCAAGATTTTCGATCATGCATTCTTTTACTTCATCATTAGACAGAAAATTCATATAAGACTGGAAAAGATTATCCTTCTGCTGAATGTCAATATGAGGCATCTTAAATTATTCATGGAGTCCTTTAGCTATTTATAGTACTACTTGTAAACTATTCTCATGATTTTGACTATTTTTCTTTGCAACACTCATGAAGCTAAATTTGTCCATTGAGATATCACTAGTATTAAGGGGAGATGTATCAGCAGTAGAAGATTACTAAGGTGGTGTTTATTGTAACATATCTTCAAAGAAAAGAGAACTTTGAAGAATGATCTAGGAACAGTCTAGGATATTTTTGTCAGTGAAGACTTAATTCATAGCAGGAAGGTTGTAAGCTGCATTCAGCTACAATAAATAATCATCTTAGAGATTTATGATCCTAGTAAAAAACTAAGCAATTTAATCTTGGAACTGATTAAATAGAGTGTTATAATGTTTTTATAGACAGTAAGAGATTTTTCCAATTTCTTTAACTAATTTAAGTTAGCTGTCATCATCTTCTTGAACTTTTTCGAAGATTAGTTTAAGGCTTTTGCTAAGTATTTTAAGCATTACACTTTCATCTATAACCTGTGAATTTTTTAAGTGAATTAAGTTGAATAGCGACAATAAACTCTGTGTTTTTATAATAATTTCCTCATCTTCTATCAGCTCAAAAATCTAAATTAAAATTAACAACGAATGAAGGGCCTTATCAACTTACTTCTTTGCTAAATATTTATTTCAATTCTTCTGAATTGAATTCGAGACCAAGATCTTCAAGCTTTTCAGCACAGATTTTTCTCAAAACCCATTAGTTATCCTGGAATAAGGTGATGGCTTAGTTTAGATATTTTTATAGGACCTAATTTTCAAGGTTATTTAGTTGAGAATTAGATCTTCGATTTCTAAGTCTTAACATACCAAGAACAAATATCAATAGTATTTCAGTCCCTCTAATTCTGATTTTCTGAGCTTTCTTAAAGCTCAGCCTCTCACCAATTTCATAGTTTTAGAATATTTCATCTATTACAGGAAATCTGCATGATGGTATAACTTCAACTATCAAATCTAGCCATTTATACCATGCCTTTAAACATATTATTGAATGGATTTTATATCTTACAGTTTAAGTGTCGTAAGTCAACTAATTTACGCAAATATCAAGGAATTTATTGCTATTTTTGTCATTTACTAACTATACATTAACATTTAAAGAAAAACTATACGTTTTCCTAAAAGCACTTCTTGAAAACACTTATAGTTTCAACTAAGAATTCATCGTCCCAGTGATCAATAGAGTTCTATAAAAATTGATTTAGTATAACAGAATTAGAGCAATCAGCTGATGTTGTAGAAAAATAAATCAGGTTAAAACGAGATCTAGGCAATTAAAGAAGTTCTTACAATAATCATTGGAAATATTTGCTCGTTGCCGTCCTTTTCAGTCATGTAAGAAGGTAAATTTAGAATAACCTATTTAAACACTCAAGTTATGATATAATATTTACGGCTCTTTTTTGTACCTCCATACCTTTTTTGAGTATGTAGACACCCTTATTCGACTAGGACATGTCATCTTTAATTGTGAGTCTTTCAATTTCCTCCTCAGTCTATGATTTTTAAAAGTAAGAACTTGAATTATAGATAAATATGGATAGTTTTAGATCTACTACTGAAACTTACAATGACTCGCTCTTAGTTTTCAGGAAACTCTTCTCGAATTAGACTTTCCATGAAGTCAAACTTATCCATAAACATTTTAATATAGCTGCTAAAAATTAAATGTTTTAATCGATTAACAATCAACTGATAAATTTTAATTCAACTATTTCATTTTCGGAATTCACTTCTCAAACTATCGAATTTATTCCATGGGGTTTTGGGGTTTTGGGGTTTTGGGGAGATCGGAAGAGCACACGTCTGA